TGTTACAAGGTTTATTTTCATTAATTAAGGTCAGGCTTTATTATTATTTTTATTAGTTATTCTTATTTCTAAGTACTATAGTCACATGGCCACTTATTCAAGGAAGTAGTTTACTGAAAGCTATCTTCTCACGCGTACTGAATCACAGCTTTTTGAATAACTGGAAAAACTCTCTTCTTTCCAAAGATCTCCCACTTAATCAGACTTTTTTAATACTTCCCCTAAACGATTTCACTGTAAGAAAAGGCTACATAACACCATGCAGTTCTCTGTTATGGCATTTTTGTCCTGGGTGTTGTCTTGATTTGTTTCTCAGTTGATCCCTTGTCTTTAGGCAACCACCAATCCTAACCCAGTCTTCATCTGTCATAAGGACATCTAAAATCATTGCCTTACTTGGGCATGCCATCATCTGTAAGTTGATGAGAAACTCTCCACGGCACAGCATATTCTTTGGTATCCCCAGCCAAAGTCTCCCACGACAACATAATTTTGCTTTTCACATACAGCAGAGAGGTACTTGCAGAATAAATCACCATGTTTTGTTTGGGGATTCAGGAGCATATAAAAGACCCTTCAATAATGCCTTGATCAAATTGTGTGTTAGAGCACGTTGTCTGGCTGTTAGCTCTAGAGTGAATATGATTTTTAGCACAACTTGCGACCCCAATTCATAATTGCTCTTGCCTATTCCACCTTTACCCAACGGGTTAGACTCGTGAGCTAGCAGTTCTACGATGCAGCCATGAACATGAAAAATATCAATTAACCATATTTCTTCCTACCCTGAGAGCTTCTCTTTCCTCTTGCACCTTGCCCACATGCAGTCTGCTATCGAAGCTGAAAATGCTCCTTCTTCCCATCTGTTGTGATGCTGGTTCAGTCTGATCATGATGCCTTTTGGTGGCCGGTGGAGCTCCTTTTCCATAGTGTTACCTTAGTACCTTCCCAGTTCTTACAGCTGTTCTCCAAGCTATGAAATCTATACCCCCCTCTGCCAGAAGACCTAGAGCATCCTCTCCTTGTTCCCATCCCAAGAGAAAGTAGTCCAAGCATTTAGAAAATTCACAGCTAAAACACCTCTTGCAGTCTCATACATCCACTAGAAGATTTTCAAAGGTGACTGGGCTTCCCTAAAGCTGTCTGTAGCCCATCCAGGTCTCCATGCTGTCTCACTATTGCTCCCAGCATTAATCACCAAGGGTAGGAGCTTGCCAGATGTTTTCAGGAGCCTGTCCATGCATCATCCAGGTGTACCTCCAAGGAGACAGCACTCTGCTGTTCTGCATTAATTCTGACCTCTCCTCTTGAAAGGTTTCTCACCAGTAACCAGAGTATTATTTGACATACTTGATCAGCAGGTGTGGTCACTCTGTGCCACAGGTACCTGAGATAGCAACAACCATAACCATATAAAGAGTATATAGCCTTCTCGAGAACAAGCAAAGCTTTTGCAGCAGAGGTATGAGGCTTAGGAAAGCCAATCTCCCAGCTCAAATTTACAAACAACACCGACTTTTTCTGCAGCTTGATCTCTCCTACCTCTTGGCTAAGAAACCAGATAAACAGAATAATAGACAGGTTACCAGAGAATCAAAAGTTGCTCTAGTGAAGGCTGTCAGCATCACGCTTAGGGCCCTCTAAGGAATCCTGAGACAGGGAAAAGCTAACGTGCACAAAGCCAAGTCATGTGGGACAGGTGACAAAGCGCCTTCAGCAGAAGGGTGCTGGGTGGAATACACGGGACCTTAACTGAACGGACAGACAAGTCAGACTCTTTCAGTTCTGAGATATGACATAAAATAGATGGGATCCAGAAATGAGTGAAGGGAGGGAGCAGGCTTGCTTAACACAGGGAAGAGGAACTGGGCTACTTAGTGCTTAGGTTGACTGAACCCTCTCTAGAGCCAGCAAGAACATCCCACATCCGTGTGGTGATGTGCAAGGAGGGCAATGCTCCCCATCCTCTCTGCGGGAAAAATCTGGTAGTCTTCATCAAAAAACTCGGTGAGCCTGGTCTCACAGCTATTTTGCCAGGCAGGGTCTCTGAGGACGAGAGCTCACCTTTCAGACGAGTCCTAGGGAATTTCACTAGGGAAGGGGCTGGGGAGGCCACTCTCTACACGCTACAGGATCAGAAATGCATTCAGCAGGGAGCCAGGGCTCACTTCTGCAAAATGCCTGGCACCATCTGTTGAAGTTCCTTGCCAAGAGGCTGATCTCAGCCCAGGGAGCGTGGTGCACAGCAGCCACGGCAGAGAACTGCATCTCTTGCCCCGCTCAAAGGCTGATCGTGTCCCTCAGTGCCTCGTGGAAGCGGGATGCTCACAAGTGGGTCTGTCCCAGCCTAGGGAGAGCTCTTGCCTCAAGGGAGGGATTTTGTGCCGCTCCCACTGCTGATATGAAAGTTGTGCTTGTCCTCACCTAGACACAACAGTCCAAACATTGGAGAGGGAGAAGCCAGAGCAATCGTTAGCACATTTCCAGACTGCCTGAGTAAGTCTCTGCCAACATGGACTTCTGTAAAGTGAGGAAGCTGAACCAGCCTGCCTAAATATTCAATTGGAGGACCTCACTGCCAGCCCAGAGAGACATGATCCTAAAAGGATGGTCTTGGACAAATGTTCATGGAGGTCACCAGACAGTGGCCACAGTCCCGAGATGGATGCTGACAGAGGGACTGCCTGGATGCATTCTGCCATGGAACCCCATTCAGTCAGACAAATCAGTGCTCCGACTGTACTTGGGCAATAAACATTCACATTAACGCATGGACACCGAGAGGAGGCCTTTGTCCCCTGCATGCCAAAGTCTCCTCTAGTGCACTAAGGACCATACTAGACTCAGCTGCAACAAGCTCATGGATGAGCACGGTCAGCTGGAAAGAGTAACTAACCTGCTCCTCCAAAGTTCATTTCATCAGTTCATCATCTTGGTCAAGAGTAGGAAAAAGCCCACTCCGGCCACAGCCAAGCTGCCCCTGCAAGCAAGTCTTTCAGAAAATTTAGGCCAAACTAAGATTTTTGAATGGGCTGGGGTCTAAGGGTAAAAGAGGTACGATTATTCCCTGTGAGAAGAATACAGACCAGCAAGTGTTCAGAAGGATCAAGCAGCCAAGACCTGGGTCTTCACTAGACAATTTCTTCTGATACTTCTTCCTGAGCAGGCACTGCCGAGAGGTGTCCTGGAAAAGGGATGAGGTTAGGGACACGAGAAGCGACACAGCGCTGAGCAGTTCCTAGGTACCACAGTTCCCAGCAAGGCTCATGGTGGAGACAAGCAGGCTAGATATTCCCCAAAGGAGCCCACAGAGAAGAGTTAAACAGATGGGAGGTCCATACCTCCTCATATCCAGCATCAAAGATGTAGGATCACCACTGATGGACAGGTAGATGCAGGTGAGATGGTCTGGCTAACACTGGAGTTGGGGCTGTGCTTCCCATGCTGAGAAATTGCTGAGGCAAAGGATCGGCATTGCCCGTCCTGCCAGTGAGATCTCAGGGGCTGTCAAACTGGTAGGAGAACGGAGCCTATTGCTGGTGACACAACTCACCAGAGAAGAGCATCTTGCACACACGGGTGGGGGAGATCTCAGTTTCACTGCAAATGAAGTCCTGAGAAGCAGCGTGGGACTGGGGTCCCCGCGTGTCCTGGCACACCAATGTCTGGCAGCACCAGCTGCTCCTGTGGGCAATGACTGCTCGAGGCAGAGACGTCGGTCCTTGCGTGCTTCATGCTTGAAATCTCTCGGGGTACGTGCTCTACAGTCCTGTGGGTTTCTTAAGCAGTACTGAGAAGCCGAGGTACATGTCATGGATTATGCATGGGGGGAGCCAGACTTAGCCAGCCACTCACAGAGATCTCCGCAGCAGAGAAAGAGCAGAAAACTCCGCAAATAGACATACGGGAAAGGGGATCTGCATGAACCAGAAGAGCCTGCGGGCAGGATAGAAAGCGATCCCTGATCTACTGCACGTGAGGCATCTATCACTTGAAAGAAAAAGCCCAGGGCCTCACCTCCCCACCGGCTCTAACTGGCCAGCTTAGCCCGCGCCGAAACACCAACACGTGCCTTACCGTGTCTCGCAGGGGCAGGCGGAGGACCTCACCCTGCCCAAACGCCGGGTGGATGCACTGATGCTCGCAGCCCAAGCCCACAGCAGCGTTAGATACGGAGATAAACCGTTGCATCACTCGGCCCCCATTTTATCTGCCTTACCTAATCACTGGGGAAGCTCGTGCAACGGCCACCCAGGCAAATGCTACAAGAGACGGGGGGACAGGGAACCCCCCACCGTGGTTAGGTTGAGGCTGGACATGGGGCTGAGGGCAGGCGAGAAAATGCTCTGGGATGCCCTGGCGTGGCAGAGGAGACCAGGCGTGGGGAGAGGAAGGTCCACGAGTCACGTTCGGCTTCGTTTCCAACCCCTCGGCCTCGGCCCTGAGGATGCTCCGGGTTAAGAACAAGGCACCGGTGCTACGCGTGGCCCGTCGAGGGCCAGCGGCTCCCAGAACAGCGACCTTGCTGCTGTCCCATCCCTGGCACACCCAAGGGACGGCAGCATCCCATGGGAGACCCCCACTGACGTGAGCTCGGGGGTCCGAGGGAGGACACCCCCCCACACTTCAATCTGCGTGGCAGCACAGGGAGAGCCCGCACCCATCGACGCCGTAGAAAAGGAAACCGTCCCGTTTAATGAGCCCTCGCCCCCGTAACACAGACGCGAGCGCACCGACAACGTGCGGCAAAGCAAAGTGCACGGTGAGCGGGACTTGGCCCCCGCCCCAGCCGAGGCAGAGGTTTTTTTGGGGGGGGGACACGACTTGGGGTGCCCGGCACGGGGACCGGCCGGAGCAACCCGGCCAGCAGCAAGGATAGAGAACGCGCCGGGCTCGGTCCAGTTGGCACCAGTGTGAGGTCCAGTTTGCAGGGAGGTACGGCTCTTGTTCGGCTCCGCGTGGTGCGGGGAGGGCAGGGGGCAGGTCAAGCGTACCTGGACGGAGGGAGAGGAGGGGGGTCTGGGGGTGAAGGGCGGGCCTGGGGTCAGGTCCCGGAGAACTCCGCCGTGGCGGGGTTGGAGCCTCCCTGCCCGAACCGCGGTTTAACCAAAGCAGGGGAAGGGAATAGAGAAGGGGCTGGAGGCTGAGCAGCCCAGGCGAGGGTGCTCAGGTCTATCTAGCTATTCCCATTTGCGAGATATTCGGTGGCGGGAGGGTGCGGGATCTGCCAAGCACCCCAAAAACGGGAGTGAGCCTGGGTGACAGACGTTTACCAGCGGCTCCACGTCCCTGACAGTCTCTCCCAGGCGTGCCAGGAAGGGGGTCCGAGGGAGCAGGGCCTCCCCTCATTATCTGATGGAAGCGTCGCTGGGTGGGTCGCGGTCGGACTCCTCGCTCTCCTCGTTTGGGGCCGACTCGCTGTTGGAGGCCGGGGTGAAGGCAGGAGACTTTCTGCAGAGAAGAGCAAAGGGCAGCGGTCACAGCACTGCCCAGGGGGAGGGAAAGGACCCAGTTCGGCATGGGCAGGGGGCACGGAGCGAGGGGGGGAGAAGCTGAAGCGGGTACACTGCCCTGGGGCATCCATGGGAATCCTTGGGTGCCAGGGAGGGTGCCCCCGAGCACCCCAGCCGAGAGGTCCAGAGCATGAAGCAAGGGCTGGGGGAGATGCTGGAGGACCCTGCCAAAGGCATGTGAGGCTAGGGGTCAGTGAAAGCCCACCACGGAGGTCCCCAGCCTGCAGCCACCCTGGCTCCACACGCCCGTGGGGACCCACACGATGTCCCTGCGCAAGGGCAGCTCCTCTCTCCATCAGGGTGTCCGGCTTCACCAGTCAAAACTGACTCCTGCAGAGGTGGGACCACGACCTGCGTGGAGGCTGGCCACCAGGCATCCAACAGCCTCTGGGAACTGCCCTCTCTCCGTGCTGCACCAGGGCAGGGCAGGAATACTGCCCCGTGCTTCAGCTCCTGCTCACCACCACCCTCGGCTGCGGTCCTTGCGGAGAAGCACGGGTATCCCAGCTCTCCCGCTGAAGCTCACCTGTCCCCAGACTGGGTGATGAGTCGCCGGCAAGTCTCCATCTGCACGTCCAAGCCTCGCTTCATGCTGCACATCTCCATGTACTCGTGCAGGTGCCGGTTCATGTCGTTCTTGGCCGTGGCCAGCTCCAGCTGCGCGAGGGCAACGGTGCGGAGATAAGCGGGGGGCACAGCCAGACCTGCGGCTGCCGCCCCCCCCATTACCAACGACCTGCTCCAGCATGGTGTGTCCCTCCCCCGGGGACCCACTCCCCCATTTCACCCCCTTCTGTGCCATGTCCCCCCCCCGTCCTCCTCCTCCTACCTCTATTTGGTCAATGGTTTCCTGGTACTCCTTCTCACGGCTCTTGAACAACGACTCTGTGTCCTTGATCACCTTCTCCAGGCTGTCGTCCTGCTGTTGGGGAGAGCAGGAGGCATGTTTAGAGGCAGGGAGGCATCCAGCATGAGGAACCGAAGGCAAGAGAGAGAGAAATCAGAGAAAGAACTGGCAGCACCGGGAAAAGAGGAAGAAACGTAAACGGTGTGGTATAAATAAGGCACAAGTCAGTCCTGCCAACACAGGGTAGAGACCCAGGACTCGCCACGCTGGGCAGTGAGCACATCGGCCCAGAACAAGCCCAGCAATGGACAAAAGCTTTGGAGAGCACAGAGCATCCCCCAGCACGACACGTCCCCAGGGGACTGCTGAGGGCTGAAAATACGGGATGGCGAGGGTTTCGGCCAGACACCAAGGCTGCTGTTTGGGCAGTGCTGCTGCACGGCAGGCAGGTTGGCTGGAGAGCCCGAGCAAGGGACCACCAGAGACCAGACCAGCCAGAGAAGGTCTTCTGGGAGGGCTATGGCTTTCCCCACGCATGTGGGCCATGCCCTCAGCATATCTTTCAGGCTACAGGTCCCCGGTCTGTGTAACAGGGAGACCTTCACAAGGATGCGGTAATGTATTCACATGGAGAAGATGGGAAGCATCTGTACAGGCCTGCAAGGGATGGAGGGGCTGAAGTCTGGTCTTTGAGGGAGCATCTTCCCAGGCTCAGACAGGACCAAGTGTCCCAACCCAGGGCTGGACCCCCGAGAACCACCGTTACCTCCCCCTGCGCCTCTGCGGCTGCAATGGCGTATCCGGAGAAGTCCTCCCAGAGGAGCAGCGTTTCTTCTGTCTCCTCCCACGTGAGGCTGTCACAGTCATCCTCAAAGTCATATTCCCTCCTGGGGGTAAGGGAACAGCACGTCAGCACCCAGCAGGAAAACTCCAAGAGACAGGGCAGGCAGGGGCCACGTCGGTGCCGAAAGCCTCGTCCCCGCTCACAGGCAGGGCTGCAGCTCTCGGGGGTCTGGCCAGGGTGAGCTCAAGCGTGCCCAGTCCCAAGAGGCGATGGGGAAAGGGCTGGCTTTATGGTCAGGAGCCCCAGCAAATCCAGGCAGGGACCCCCAAGAGATGGGAAGAGGGGCAAGAGGAGGGGAGCCAGACCAGCTCCCACCCACGGCACGGGTGGGCTCAGGTCTCCCAGGGGGGTCCGACCACCACGGCGCAGAGCACAGGGCGTACGTACCCCGTGGCAGCGCCTCCCTTCTCGCCCACCCCTGCCCTCCCCATCCCGGGCACCGGCAGGGAGCCCGGTGCCGAAGCTTCGCTCAACTCCGTCAGCAGAGAGTGCGGAGCAGCCGCACTCACAGCTGGTTCAGCATCCTTTGCATTTCCTCATTGATACTCATGGCCGTGGTCTCGTCCTCCTCTTCCTCTTCAGGTTTTCGGGAGGCATCGCTCTCCGACAGCGAGGTGTCTTCGTCGCTGACCTGCTTGCGCTCCCGCTTCCGCCCCACCGAGGCTGGGACCTTAACGGGAGACAAGTGCAGAGACTACAGAAACGAGGCCGGGTCCGAGGTGGGGAGCAGGTAGTTGGGAGGAAGATGGAGGGGAAAGGAATGGCAGAGGGACAGAAAGGCAGGGAGAGAGAGAAAGACAGAAAGACAGAAAGAAAGGAAGGAAGAAAAAGCAAGAGAGAAAGAGAGAGACGGGCTCATTATGATCAGGTTAAAGATGGTGCAATGGATAAAACATGGCTTTAGCATTTTCTGAAATTAAAACTAAGCAACTAAAGATGGAATCTATGAATCTGATGAGAAAAAACAACGTGGTTTTACTGCAGAAAAACTCAAATTGCCCACCACCCCAGTCCAGAGACAGGAAAACACAGCGACAGAAACAGGAAAAAAGAGACAGAGTCTGAAAAAGGTGAAATATGTCAATATTTACAGTCCGACCTTACTTATAGAAAGTTTAAAATTTGTACACTTTCCCAACTGAATGGAACTAACCAGTTGCTTCTGTAGGGACAAAGAGAGCGAGACAGAAAGGCAGCAACATCCAGAAGGAGAAAAAGAGACAGAGAAGAGAGACAGAGAGAAGATGACGGAGAGGGGAAGGGGAAGGAAAGAGATGGAGTTAGAGACAGACACTCGAGCAACTCGTCTCCCTCCTGCAGCTGCTCCCCTACCACTGCGGGGTCCCCGGGCCCAATACAACAGGTCAGCGAGAGGTTGAGGGGACTCTCGATGGCCAAAGCAACATCTGGAGCTTTCCACCTCCTCTCCGTGCCCTTCCGCCTGGTCCTCCCGAGAGAGACGGAGAACAAGGGACCGCAAGGAGCGAGGGTGAGGGTGACCAAGCGTCTCCCCTAGCAGGGGGCTGGCGTTGTCTCTGCTACCTCCTTCGGGAACTCTCCTCCCCAGAGCCGGCGGCTGAGCCTGGAGCAGCAGCAGGCGCTTCTCACCTGAAACATCTTGATCATGTCCTCGCAGTTCCGCTGCTGTGCCACGTCGCACAGCTTGGCAGTGATGTCGATGCGCCGGCAGATGTCCATGTCCACCTTCATGGCCTTCTCCTGGATCTTGGTGTCCAGCTCCGTGATGTTCTGAACCCACAGCGCCGCAGGAGGTGGGGGACAAAGGCGGAAGATTGGGTGAGGCAAACGGCAATCAAAATGGCTGCAGGACCGCATCTGCATCCCCACTCTGCTCACTGCACCCTGGACCAACCCTGCAAGACCCCCTCCGTGCTGGACATGCCCCACCAAGAGAACCACTCTTCTACACAGCCCCACCGCTCGGGTAGGACGCTGCTGCTGGGTCGGAGAGGGGTGAGGGACTCACGTTGCTCATCAGTCCCTTGAAGACGACGAGCTCTGCCTTGAGCTGCTCCACCTTCATGGCCAGCTCCTCCTGGCAAGCTTCAGCCTCCTGGGCTTCCTGCGCCGGGGAAGATGGAGACGCGCAAATCAGCGTCAGCGCGGGGCAGCCGGGGTGCAGGGGAAGGGGGGGGGGACACGGACAGCGATGCTCACCTCCTGCAGCTCAGTCACCCGGTCCTGAAGCTGGACACGCACCGTGTACTCCTCTTCCCATCTAGGGAGACAAACGCGCCGGTCAGATCCCGCCGGCATCGGTCAGATCCCGCTGGCATCGCCGGCTGCCAAAGAGAATGGAGGGAGCGGCAGGCGCCCCC